TCTGGGTGGGTGGGTGGGTGGGTATCTGCCCAGCTACTGCTGCCACTCAGCCCTGACGGGTGAGCCCAGAGCTGGTGTGGGGCACAGGCTGAGCAGCAGCAGCAGAGAACAAACTGCTGCTCAGTGCAGGCAAAAAGCAGCCCCTCCCCCTGCTGCACTGAGCAGCAGTTTGTTTCCTACAGCTGCTGCTCAGCCCAGATGAGCAAGCACAGGGCGTGCGGGGTTGGAGCTATGTGCTTTTCCCTGCCTGTACCGTGGGGCTGGGAGTAAGCAAGCATGCAGGAACCAGCAGTAGCCAGGCAGGAGTGCGGGGCCCGCGTCTGTATCCTGGGGCCAGCGCCAGTGGGGCCCAGAGCAGGGAGGCAGGAGAGTGGGGTCCCAGCTGGCTAAGGCTCTATGGAGCCAGGCCAGCTCCCCGCACTCCCTGCTGGCCTGGCCCAACTCCACAGACCCCTGCCAGCCCATGCCTGGCACTCCTAGCACCCTGCTCTGGGCCCTGCCAGCACTGGCCCTGGGACACTGGTGCAGGCCCCATGCTCCCGCATACTGCTCGCTTCCACTGCCCCCTGTAACCACTTTTCCCACTTTCCTGCCCACCCAACAGCCGGCCACTCTGCAGCTCATTGCTCCCATAGCCACATCCATACCCAAAATACCATACCCACCCACAGCTCCCCACAAACCCCACACCCACCTACTCATGCCCCCCAACATCCCTGTACACCCCAAACAATATACAAAAGTAAGATGCATTTTGAGCTATTATGCAATCATTTCTACATATACAGCACAAACTTATATAAATCAGGACAAAATATATATTTTCAATTCAATTAAAATATATTATTATACGTGTTTGGGTTTTAGTATACAATTTGGTTTTTCCCCCCCTAAGATGGCAAACCCTCGTCCCCAAAGGAGTACTTCCAAGGGCAAGGGGAGGGACTTCTGGTGGCAAAGGTCAGAGGTTATGGGGTAGGACTATTGGCCCCAAGATGTCGACCAGGGGGCAGGGCTACACATGCGGCCCTCAACAGCTTGCCAAAATTCAGTAAGCAGCCTTCTGCCCAAAATAATTGCCTGCCCCTGGTGTACACAAACTTCCAGGGAGACAATAGGGCCGAAGGGTAGGTAATCAGGTCTGTTATCTCTCATCTCCATATACTGCTGTTAACAAAGATATTATCTTTGGAGACACAAATCCACAGTTTGAGAACTGAAACACAGTATCACAGAGATAATTAATGGGATCTTCTAGGCTGAACACTGAGTCCCATTGAGTAGTGTGGTTTTCTTTAACCTTTACTAATCTAGAGAGGAGCCTCTGGGAACCCCATAAAATTGGGTCCCTAATATAGTCCATGGCCTGTTGTGACCTATTTATAAAACTTTTCTAAAAAGATTATATGAACATACCAGCTCAAATAGTTTTAATTTAACATTAAAGCTCAGATATCACGGAATACATGGGATTACAACTTCTAATACTATCCTTTTATAGATTTATTATTTTTTTAAAAGCATCTTAAAAAAGTAAAAAACATCCAATTAAATAAAAAATCTGATTTAAATAAAAAAAAAACCAATTTAATTTTTTTTTTAATTGTTGATTTTTATCCATCCTAATTAAGATACATTTGTAGAGGAAAATATATAATGAGCTAAACTAAAATTGTCCCAGAACATATTTCAAATTGTCACAAACCAAAGTTGTGGATTTTTTTTAATTGTGTGTGCTTTGGCACCGCTAAATTATGTTCCCGCCGAATTGGAGCTCTTTTGCACGACGGAGTGTTTTGTTGTTATGGAGAACCCGCGTGCAGAAAAGTTTTTCCCGCCGATCTGTAGCCTTCTTTGCATTGTG